CCCGGGGGTGAGCGCTCGGCCAGCGTGCTATGGTTTGAGGCCCACCCAGCATGGGGGTTGGCGGTCCCCCGGCAGGACGAAGTCAGACAGTCACGCCCCGCTCGAGACATTGCTCTTCTTTTCCGACAGGAAATCCAAAGGCCAGATCTCACTGTTATATATATACAAGGTGCAGACGTAGTAGAGGCCCACGCTATGGGTGGGCGTAGACAACTTTTCTCAGCAACACACACACCAGTGATCCACACAGCTCTCTCTTTATTTAAGTTAAAACATTTCTTTACTCAGAATGTAAAGACAGCTAAGCAGTATGAAAACCTTCCAGCTGTGTTTTCCTCTGCTGTTGTTGCTGCAGCGGTCTGTGTGACGGTGGGAGCAGAGGGCTCTGTGAGCGGGCAGCTTGCCGGCCTCGGGAGCTCCTCAAATCCGAAAACTTTCAAGCACATTTTTGTACCGCCGTCACTTTTCGTAAAACTGTCAATATTTGAAATCTACATAGTTGATTTCTCACTTCAAAACTTCTCAGAATTGGATTTAGTGATGAAATTACATATGAAAACTGTAAAATTTAATTTCCCTAATTTCTGTCTCCTCGATCCTTGAGTGTGTGACCCGGAAATCAATGTCAGCACGCCATCTTGAAGGACATCTCAATTCCTAAAATGCACATCGAGGATCGAGGAGGCTTGCTGGAGGAGCTATAAGCGAGGATTCATCGTGTATCCTTTGCGGAAAACTTTTCAGCCGCTGTGATGTTTACAAGAGGCGTGACATGCAGCTGGACCAACCCATGGCTGGAGCAGGACGCTGCAGTGTTCCTGTTGTATTCATACGTTGTATTAGTTAAGCCTATTAAAAATAATAAATTGCGCGATCAAACTTTCAGCCCTTCATTGTTTGTGTAGTGCCTCATAAAGCACTGTTCTAACCGCATTCCTTAATGCCATTTCACTTTGATATCACTGATGTTATTGTTGAATGTGATGTCTGGGTGGGCAGCAGGATTGTAAAAATTAACATCAAATAGCAGCTAGATGTACTTACTGTACTTACGTAAGAGGTAACACATGTTTTGGCAATAAATCCGGAAAAAACAGATAAAAAACAAACAACAGTGTGGTAAAGTTTGAAGGAGCTACCTGCTGCCGGTTCCATGGCGATAAGAGCATTATATACTTAAACAGAGCAGTATACTTATGCTAGCAGAATGATAAGCACCTACTGATGTGTTCAGTGGCCTACTATGAAGGGAGTTCAAACTACTCAGTTAACTCAGGGTTATCAAACAAACTCTGACCGCCTACACTGGTGTTAAATGGTACTGCGACAGTGAAAAAGATGTTGGTTAGTTGAGTCTGTGTTAACCCGGTGTTCACTTAATTGGAATTGGTGCGCGTTTGCATAGGGGCTATGCAGGCACGTTGACAGTCTTTTTTGTCTTTTGATTTGTCTATTTATATATACACACACATTTACTGTTTATCTATTTTATTAAAATTTTTAATATATTATTTGAATTTTTTTTAACTGTTTTATTTATTTGATGAACCATATGGTTTGAATTCACAACAGACACGCACATTTTTATTTATTTATTTTTATTTTTATACTTGATACTATTATTATTATAGTTAATATAATTATATTATATTATTTTATTTTTTAAACACACACACTTTTACTGTTTATTGAAATTTATGAAATGAATTGTTCTTTTGTAATTTATTTGTATCTTTGGCAATTTTGTTGTACATTCATGCCAAAAAAGCTGAATTGAATTGATTGCGTCAGAAAATGAGGAGACACTAAATCTAATACTGTGGCGGCCGACAACGCCAGGGAGGCTTGTTGGCATTGCATTGAGTAAGCATCTTCACAGTGTTCTTATTGTAGTGTAATTTTCTATTATGTGTTTTATTGACTTTTCTTTTATGTGCAATATAATTAAGATGCAAAGGTACAACTGCACAAAGAGTCCATTGTAATAAAAAACAATGGAGCCAGCAATCCAAGATTAATCTACAAGTTAAAAACTCTGACAGTATAGTCATACATTTATGAGAGAAACTTCACTTTACAAGGCTGCAACATCACACATGTCTGCCCTATAGTTTTCATGCAATGGAAAATTATATTAGACTTCGCAATCGGATTTAGCAGTGAGGAAATACTCGTGAGTTTAGCCCACAATCATATTATCTTGCACCTTGGAGACTTTGCTGTGGATTGGTCTTATTCAGAAGAAAATACCTGTGATTTAGATTTTGTGTGATTTTGATTTTTTGTGACTTTAATTTCAGGGAATTTCCAAGTTTTGTTCTTGTAAATTTGACACTTTCATCTTGGAATTTCTTCTCGATTTGTTAACCCTCTCCCTGGCTCCATTTTTTTTTTCTTTATCTAAATAGGCCTATGTGAAAACACTATAATTCATTTATAGCCTACATAGTTACAGGTTGTTTTGTATCTGTAGTAGTTTGTATCTTTTTGTATTCTTTTGTGTCTCATTGTAGGCCCTTTGTGTGTCTTTGTGGTCCTTTTGCATCTATTTATAGATGTTTTGCATCTCTATTTAGGTCCAGGTGAGTCCTGAACCATCCCTTAGTTATGCTTATAGGCCTAGACTGCCGGGGGATTTCCTATGATGCACTGAGCTTTTCTCTCCTCTACTTTCTCTCCCTCTGTATGCAACCTCATCCCATTATTGCATGTTACTAACACAACTTCTCCCCTTTCTGGTAGTCTTGTGCTTTCTCGTCCCTCTCCTCTCTCCTCCTATCACTTCCTGCAGGTTTTCTGGCTCTGGAGCTGTGGAGTCTGGATCTGTGGCTGCGGGTCACCTGCTGCCCCCGTGTTCCTGCTCGACACCCTCTACTGCAACGACTATTGTTACTAGTCCTATTGTTATTATAATCATTAACATTACGATTGTTATCATTAACACTATTATAAATATCTGTACCATTTTTCATTTAGTCTATAGCAACATTACCTTCACTGTCTGTACCTCTGTGTGTATATTGTGTAGGCTGCCTCCCTCCCCTCTCTCTCCTTCCATCCCTCTCTTTTTCTCTCTGTTCCTCTCCTGCCCTCTTTCTCTCTCTCTCTCTCTGTTCCTCTCTTGCCCTCTCTCTCTCTCTCTCTCTCTCTCTCTCCTTCACCCCCAACCGGTCGAGGCAGATTGCCGCCCACCCTGAGCCATGGTTCTGCTCGAGGTTTCTGCCTCTTAAAAGGAAGTTTTTCCTTGCCTCTGTCGTCTAGTGCTTGCTCTTGGTGGGAATTGTTGGACTTCTGTAAATAGCATCATAGAGTATGGTCTAGACCTGCTCTTTTATGAAAAGCGCTGTGAGATAACTGTTGTTGTGAGTTGTTTAATTGACTTTCCAAAGAGAAATATTAACTGTCACGTCAAACAGAGGGCTGTGCCCAGCATGCTCGTTCAGTAATACATACATGAGGGCAGGGGTGATACATCCTCAAAGACTGAGGATTTTAGTGTAATTTTCCTTTAAAGATTTTACAGTGGAAAATTCTCCTGATGGGATAATGGGGATAGCTAAAAAAGTGGGTGAAAGTTCACATAAGGGAACAATGTGATCTCATCAGATCAGCTTGTAGTCCAAGCCCAAAGCTGCAACAGTGGGCTGTGCAGGTCACATGACACCATACACACACACACATTACAAAGGGAAACTGCTGTGAAATGGTGTTGGACTGATGTTTACATCTTTGGACCAAGACTACCGGGTATGCTGGAACTTTGCATCCAGTTTTTAAGACAACAGGTTTTCTAGTAATGAAACGCTGCAACTTCAAAATGTTTTGTGTATTTGTTGTGCTTGCAAACTTGTGTCAATCCCTCAATCCTCATCCAAGAGGGGTGGACAAAATAACAGAAATGGTTGTCTATATAGTGCATATATATATATAACCCTACTTTGTAGCCCAAATCTCTGTATATTCTTTATGAATAGGCAGGCATATATGATCTTTTTTGTTCTGTATTTTACTTACTTTGTTGCAATCAGGCCCCTATTAACACCACATTCCTGCCACTCCCATTGCAGTGTGTACAGTTTTTCTAAGCCAGGGCCCACATTAGCTGTGTGAAAGATCAGATAATATAGCAGGATCCTCCACAAGGCCCTTATCATGTCAGCTAATACTGTGCTTCGGTGGTGCATATTCCCAGATAAATTTTCTATTAAATTAGCACAAACGGTTGACACACAGTGAGCCTTCTGCCTTGGCCAGTTGGGAATCTTACCTTGCAATACAAGAAGTTTGGTGGTCATGTGGAACAGGGTAGATGGCATTTAAATCTTTACTTTTAATGCCAACACCACTAACCATGTAATACTAGTCATTGTGTCAACTGCTGTTTCATAGGTCAGGAATTAACTGTCAAGCTTGACACTCCATTTAACCATGGCCTTCACTATTCTTAACCAAATAGATATGCTTAAAGTTAACCATATTTAACTACACATTAGTGGTCATACATATTATTAATACCAAATAAAGGTGGATTATACTAATTATAATTTAGTGTATTATATTAATTCTGAAAACTACCAACCACACTTACATACAGTTGCCAACTCCCATACTGCGTTTCTGTATTATTTAGAATGTAACAAATTTCCAGCCCAACGCTGGTGATACTAATGATAGCCTGTGGGTTTGGGGATCAGTGTGTGTGATAATGAAACTCTTCCGTGTATTAGTCAGAATCAGCGCCTTTTCCAGACTAACCCGGTTTCAATGTTTACTACCAAATGTTCTGTTCTCTGAGTCCACCTCCAACTTCCTGTGCTCGCATCTGCTCAGCACGTCCCAGCCACGCGGTGTCCACGCGTCGGTTTCGGGCGCTGATTGGCTAGAGCTGACACAAACAAAGGTTTTCCACCAATGGGAGCGCTGTGCACGCGCTGAGCCATGCTGTACATTCTGGCTCCTCATGCCCTGCCGAGACTGGCCATATAAAACAGGAGTGTAGTCTTTGTTTACAGCAGAAACCTGTGGTCGCTTCGGCCCCTTTTATCGATACATCGTATCTCAGCGGTTCAGTCCAGTATTATAAGTTTTTGTCATTGTGTTGCATATCATAAATAAGCAGTCATGGTGGCTATGACGAAAAGAGTAAAAACCTTTCAAATTGTCTTTACGGATCCCAGCAAGACTTTTTACTGCGGCGGGGACAAGGTGTGTGGACGGATAGAAGTGGAAGTGAACGAGGTGACGCGTGTGTCCGCGGTAAAGGTTCTGGGTCTGGGCTGCGCCAAAGTGGAGTACGCTAAAGGCAAGCAGCGCTGCCGTCAGGAGGCCGAGTACCTCCGCTACGAGGAAGTGCTACGGCTGGACCAACAGCCCACAGGTAACAGCTGGGACATGTGCTTTGTACTGTGTTGTACTTTGGATTTGATACTACGGAATTTGAATTCCGTAGTATATGTGTAACACGTACTTTGGTGTAAAAAAGCTCTTTGAGTAGTTTTAACCTGTAGCTCTCTGCTTTATTTTTCCCTGTGTTCAGTGAGGTTGAGGAATTGCTGGCAGGCAGATAACCCCTTATCATTCCACTGGTGTTTCCCATGTTGAATCTGTGTTATCAAGCCATACAAGAGACAGCAGTCAAGCCTAGTCAAGACAATTTGGTTACTTAAATTAGGAAAATAAACATATATGAAAGGTTGAAGAGCATATTTAATTTTCTTTTTTCAGACTCTGATGGATCTGTGGTCTTGAGGCCTGGCAACAAATATGAGTACACATTTGGATTTGAGCTGCCCCAGCAAGGGTAAGGCATTGTCCCTTAATTCAAGTAACATGATATCAGCTTGCGTTCTTCATTGACTTGTATTCCATAGAATAATTTAGGTTTTAATTTTCTGCTCACATGTTCTAACAGGCAGCTGGTGTCATCATACAAGGGGAAGTTTGGTTATGTCCAGTACTATGTGAAGGCTCTAATGGAGAGGCCACAACAGCCCCCCCTTGAGTGCAAGAAACCCTTTGAGGTGGAGGAGCCTCTGGATGTCAACACCCCAGACCTGCTGGTGAGTTAACTGACATTAAACAAAAAGGGCCTTTATATAAGCGGCTTTAATTATTCTGGCTGTGACAGCCTAATATATTGAGCTCGTTTTTGTCTGCTTGTTGTTCAGTTATAACATGGTGCTGCTTGAGTTTGAGAAGGAGTCTCCGGTTGAGTTGAATCTTACCTTCCTGCTTCTGCTCAGTCCCCCACAGGTGGCATGAAGGAGAAGAAAGTCACCTGCATGTTCATCCCTGATGGCCAGGTGTCACTCAATGCAAAAATTGACCGCCGTGGTTTCTGTGAAGGCGAAGACATCTGCATCAATGCAAAGTTTGAGAATACCTGCTCCCGCATTGTGGTACCTAAGGCTGCCATCATCGCCAAACACACTTACCAGGCCAACGGGCGCACTAAGGTCTTCCGCCAGAAGCTGTCCTCGGTGCGTGGAAACCACATCATCTCCGGCATGTGTGACGCCTGGCAGGGAAAATCCATCAGGGTGCCAAAGATCAAACCATCCATGCTGGGCTGCAACATCATCCGTGTAGAGTACGCTCTGATGGTAAGCCTCTAGTTGCTGCATTTAAACAGATTTTTGGCTGTTACCTCATGAGAAGTGACAGTCAGTGTTAATGCTTGTGTTCATGATCCTTCTGCCAGATTTACGTCCACATCCCTGGTAGTGAGAAGCTGATCCTGGAGCTGCCTCTGGTCATTGGGACCGCCGGTCTGGGCAGCCGCAGCAACAGCGTGAGCAGCCAGGAGGGTTCGGTCAGCAACGCCTCCCAGAGCTGGGTGTCCCTCAGGATGCCCTCTGATCCTCCCAGCTACTGTGACATCACCCGAGACTGCCGCCTGGACCAACCCCTCACGCCGCTCCTGGACGACTTCGATGGTGACGACAGCCCAATCTTCATGAACGCCTCAGCCTTCCCGTTCCCGCCACCTCCAGTATACGCTGAGGTAGGCGTCTCAACCATGATCCTTAGCTCTCTCTGTCAAATTATTAATAAATGACTTTTGCTAGTATATTTATATCTAATAAAACCATCATTTTCTCCAGGTTGAGGAGGAGTACAATGGCAATGCCCGTATGCTGCCAGTCTGCTGAAGTCTATCAGGGATTCTAGAACTGTGGTCCAGCTCTCAGAGACTGTTCTTCTAAGGCACTATAAAAGGAGCAGAAGGTCCAAACTCCAGAGGAGTGTGAGATGGAGAAGTAAAGCCAGGGTTGTGGAGATGGACAGAAGGACCCCTCCCCTGTTCTGTCAGCTCTCTTTACTGTGCTTCATCACCTATGCTGATTCTGAGTCTTCCGCTGGTGCTCTTCAGGTCGTGGACCTGGAGGTCCAGTTGCAGAGTCTGTGGTGCGCTGTATTTCTAAAGAAGCTGTCCCTTCCAGAGACTCACTGTCCATTTACAGCTACTTTATGACTTTGTTGCTGGGGCCAAGCATTGTATGAGTCAGCCCCCAGCCTGCTGCCACAGCTTTATTTTTTGGGGGTTTGTCTTTTCCTCATGATGCTTTGTCATTCCAATCAAACCCTGTATCTTTAAGGGGTTTTGAAAGAGGAACCATCCTTTTTGTTTAGTGCAGTCAGTTTGTGTTGCTGTAAAGAATTTATCAGGAATATTGTTTGATTTAAGAATCACAGCATGTAGAATAATCTTTGAAAGAAATGATTTTTATTCCTGTATTTTATTGCACTTTCGATCGATGCGTTTTTCTCTTCTACTGCCTCCAAGAGCTTTTGTTTAACATGTTTTGTTTGAACAATGTTTGTGAAGTGGAGAATGAAAACTTTCTAGGTAGAACACTCACATTTAATTTCCAAATCCAAGGCAAAATTTGCGCTAAACATGATCCATACAACTTACCCACTCCAATATCATGGAACGCACCGTATGTGAGGATAATCATTGTGTCTGATCTGCAGTTGTCCTGGATAACATTCACTGTGAGATCTCCACTGGGGTGGTTTCAAAACTTTGTTCTTCCAGGGCACAATATCACTGTTAAAGATTGATTTGTGAGAAAGTATGTTTGCAATGCATACTTGATACTTGTATAAGTATTTTTTTGTATGAAACCCTATGGGTTAGTTTTTTTATTAAAGAAATTGTAAAATATCCAAAATGTTTCTGCTTCTTTCTTTGTAACTCTGGTTTCAGATTTCAGCTATCAAGTTGTGGTTCAGCCCTCCTTTATAAGGAGAACCTAGGCGCATTGGAAGAGGAGTGCAGGACGATTAATCAAAAAGTAAACAAAACCAAAATTCTGAATTTCTATTCAGAATTTTCTATTTAAAAAAAAAAAATCCTATTAATATATCTTCTACTGTGTGTTCATATGTTTTTATTTACAGTCTATTGTTCATATACTATTGCCTTGAAAACATAATACCGCATGTGCAGCAGCGGCGATGTGGCGAATATAGGGGGTGGCACGTCTCTGTTAAGTGCACGCACAGACTGTCTGGCACTGCACTTTGGCACTTCCAAGTTTAGTCATGTGCTTTCTGTTAACATTATGTTATCAATTAATATTTAGAGAATCGATTTTTACTGTAGAAACCTTTGCTAAAAAAACTAAAACAAAATTGTTGTTCATTAATCGTAATCGAGGTAAAATGTTCAATTAATTGTGACTTTGATTTTAGGTCATACCGAACCTTGCTGACAGCCACAGAGGCCTGAACATGTTAGCCGCCACAGTAAAGTTGAGTCACAAGCTGAAAAATAATACTGGTGTGAGTTGTGACCTATAGCTTTACCACAGCAGGACTTTGGAATGAATTACCCGGTCTAGCGGAAAACTGTCTTCACTATAGGATATTAGTTGTTGACATGGTGATCTGGAAATAGCAGTAAAGCACAGTCTCTGCTATGGTGTGGCATTTAAGAGTTTTTCTTCTGTTTGGCTTGTGATCCAAGCCAAGTATGAGTGGTTAGAACACCAGGAAAGACCGGGGCTTGGAGATGTCCTACTGTGAGGAGATCAAGAACCCGAGAGATTGCAAATCCCACCTAGCCTGGGAATATACTGACTTCTGGAGGAGCTGGGGGATGTGAAGAAGCCAGGGCTACCTTGCCAGGTGCCACCGCTAGAACTTAAATAGATGGCTGGAACAGCTGATGTCTTGGTGAAGTTCTATGACCTAAACCTTGCATTTTCAACAAAATTCTTACAGTTTATGGAAATTCATCTTTCCACAATTTTATTTTTCTATGGACCAGTTTAACAGGTGAGCACCAGAGCAATAACATTTAACTCTCACCTGGTAGAGTGACCGTCACCCCCTCTCTCCCTCCCTGTCTTTCCTGTCTCTCTACAGTCCAAATTAAAAGCAAAATGCCCAAAAATAAAAAATACAATAAGATCATCTATTTTGCACACACACCGCTAACCCCTAAACAACTCCCCTCCCCACCCAACCTGGACCTTATGGACCAGCAGATCATGCATATGTTCTTTATATTAAATTAAATTAAATAACATGGAGGTGTTCCTGGAAGATAAAAATCCATTCTGACAAATAAATAGCCAGTTCAGATTTGTGCTATTTGTCAATGGAGGAGGCCTTTAGCAAGAGGGAGTGTGCCCAGAGCTGTGTGAAATGCATGTACAGAGAGAGGTATGTTCCATGGCACTATCACCGTAAGGGCTTTTCTGGCTGCCTTTGAGCGAATGGAGGCCCACAGATGTCACAGAGAGTAAGCAACCATAGAGTAGCTTCTCTGCTGACCGTGGGAATGAAATTGCCTAGCCCAGTGAGGATTATTATTATGAAATGTGGGTGGGATGCCAGAGGCCTGTGCAGGATTTTGTTCCCTTTCAGAGGCTGCTGACGTCCAGCAACTGCTGAGAACACCAGATAAGGAAACTGTTTATGTGAATAGGGGGTGTATCTTCGGCTCCACAGCCATGAGAACAGTAAGATAGGATATTCATGGTCCTCAGAAGATGAATGGAAACCCACTGGATATTTACAATATCTTAAACACAACCCTATTTAGTTTTATGCATTATTTCTCTTTGTGCAGTCCATACTGGCATCTTTCTTCCTCTGCCGATGTCCCTCCCATAGTCTGCCCTTACTTGGCTTCTCCTGGCATGTCTGCTAGTACTTCAAATACTACACCCACAATGCAGGCACATGCACAGTTCTTTATAGCTGGTGAATGGTACTTCCTGGACTTCTTGTGTCTTAATACAGTTGGCAGAGTGGGAAGCCTGTTGCTAAACACTGTGTGGGGTTGGGGGGGGCAGCTAAATGCAATGTTTCCCCTTAGTTTGCAAACATATAAATAGAAGGGGAGGAGAAATGTTGTGAAGGGATGTAGCAATGTGTGCAGGTGTTAAAAGTTTCCATTTGTGGATGGGAGAATGAGGGGAGGGTGCAGTGACATGTAGAACAAGTGTCAATAGATGGAACACCCATGTGCATGAACAATACTGCACTCACATCCACTGTCCATCTGCTTTTCAAGAAAAATTAATTCCATCCTCATCTTTAGTTTTCTATGACCTAAGATGCATTGTTTTTTTATTAGTGCAAAACAACATTACATAACTGACACAACATGTAATGTTAATTATTATTGTGATCTGACTGGATATATAGTAGAGTCTAAACTTCGGATAGGCTTGTGTTTTTAAGATCAGATTCTTTCCTTTCAGCTTCTCTTTTGTCAGAGAGTAAACCCTAGTCAAAAATGGAACTACTGAACATATTCTATAAACATGGACATCAACCCGTCCATAGACCTGATTATTGAATGTCTGTATTTGTATAGGGCCTTTCTAGACCACTCAATTTTGATAGATTTTAATAGATTTTAAATTCTATTCTGGATTTATAGGGAAGAAGCAGAGAAGCTAATACAGGAAAATATGATTTCTCTCTTGTCAGAACATGTGCCACAGCATTCTGGATTAGCTGAAGAGTCTTGAGCAAGCACCCTGATAATAAAGAACTGTAGTAATCCAGCCTAGAACTAACAAATGTGTGGACTAGTTTTTCCACATCATTTTGAGACAGGACGTTCCTGATTTTTTGATATCAGGTTTTACAGCTATTTCCGGTTGAAGGTGGGACGTGCTAAATTTGGTCTCAAATAATTAGAATTTATCATTAAAGAAGTTATTACTGCTGAGGGCTTTAGGAATACTTGGCTCAGTAGAGCTGTCAGCCTGGCTACAGTGCTGAAAAGAAACCTGGGGTTTTTCGTATTTTCATCTATTAATGACGAGTAGTATGTTATTCTGGCAATTACGGAGGGCCCTCCTAAAAGATTTAAAGAGGTGGTATTCTGCTCATTTTCAGGTTCAAAATCTTAATTAGGGGTTGTACCAGAACAGGTTTACATGGTTTAATTTTTAAAAAACACCATATTTTTCTCATACTGCACATTGCTGCAGCTCCTCTTTTCACCCTGTGTGTTGTACGCTCTCTTGAGCTACAGAGTGATGCATCTTACTTGTACAAAATCTTTGTTGGGAGTTGCACATGCGCAGTTTCCAGGTAAGGACTACTAGCCAATCAGAAGCAGAGAAGGGCGGGTCGTAAGAAACAAGGTAGTGTGATCCAAATCAAAACCGTAACCTAGCAGATGGTATAAGTTACTCTCAAGTCCACAACATCATTGTTCCACATCTTACCATCAGGACTAAACGCTGAACTGTTGCCGGTGTTCTGACGATCTATGCTGCCTTGCCGAAAAATGCTACCATAGCGCAAATCGATAAACTCGACTCTACTCGGCCCTGCTTCTTTTTCCATTGCAGATAGTACCCAAAGATAGTACGTAGCTGTCGTCATAGCGACGCCACACACAACTGCCGTGACGTAATGCTCAATGCGACACACACACCAGCAATCCACACAGCTTTCTCTTTTTAAGTTAAAACGTTTTAAGCTCAGTTTCAGCTGATTTCTCATCTCAAAACTTCTCAGAAGTGGATTTAGTGATGAAATTCCATACGAAAACTGTAAAATATAAAACTTTCTGTTGCTGGCCTCTGTCTGGCGTGCGCAATGATGAGGCAGTGAATAGTGAATATTCTCTCTGACCAATCAGCAGTCTGTCTGTTTCCACGTTACATTTTAGTATCCCTCAGCTCGCTTAGAACCTCGACGGAGGTGAGGTGAAATAAAAAAAGTACCTGGAAGCAGGTACAGGTACAACATTTCTACAATGGAAAACCAAACAAAGGTGAGTCGAGCCAAAGGGCCTCCGCTCAGACTAGCTTGGTTTGAGGGCGTGCCTGACCCCGCTAGCTGCTCGGCAAGCTTTATGACGTGTATTCATTGTGATGTCACAAGTAAAGGAAGTGAAGGGCTGGACTACAAACGAGCTGTTTTCAAGCGGTTCAGAGCAGAGCTTTCTGTGGGAGATGGGAACTCCCTTTGGGCTGGACTTTGGGCTTTTTCACTTTGCAAACCTGTTACATGCACAAAAAAGAGAAATAACTCAGAAAAGGAGAGGGGAAAAGCCAAAAAGCAGAATACCACCTCTTTAAGACTATCCAGCTAGAATAAACGAGATTCTCCCAGATTGGTGGGACGCCATTTCCTTTCAAATTTCAGCGATGTTTGCTATAATTAGCAAGTTCGGGGGTTATACCCATGGTTATTCCATGGAGCTGACCGTCTTTGTTTTATTATTTTCTATTTTAGAGGGGCTACAGAGTCGAGTGTCATTCACAGGGAGCCTGCAGCTCTATCAACAAGATGATCAATTTGGGACACCTTGTAGTTTCTTTATGATTAATTTCTGGCTATCATTCTGAGCTATTGTTTCTGGCTAACGTGCTTACCAACATGTCATAATACCAGCATGTTGCATGCCTTGCTCTATCCTTAGATAAGGCCTGTAATTGGTTGAGGCAGGAGAGTACTCGCTTCCTCTTTGGCTGAAGCAGTTGTTCACGAAGGCATTCAAGAGCGACACACACACACACACACACACACACTGAGCTGGTTTCCTTCCTCAACCTCCCTCTGCTCAGTGATTACACCCACCCCCAGTGATTCACAGAAAGTTGCTTACAGCAAGCAAGTCCGGTCATGAGCCTGAGGTTAACTATGACACAAAGCATGTAATACACCCACTGAGTACAAGTTGACTC